TAACTAAATTCTACTCATATTTATATTTTTATCGTTCGAGAAATATACATAAATATTATCTAATTTATATTCAGACTCAAAACATAAGATCTATTCATTTAAAGATTAATTGAAACATAATAATTTAAATATTTTCTTTTAGTTATCAAAATCACTTGACGAAACAAAATATTTATTTGTTGATACACCTGATAAACTTAAAAAAATGATAGATCATATTGAAAATCAATCTGAATTAGCAATTGATTTAGAAGTATTTTTTTTCTTTTGAATTTTCTTTTTTTCAAAATGAAAATATTTCTTTATCTATAGCATCATTCTTATCGTTCATATCAAGGTTTTACATGTTTAATGCAAATATCATCACGTACAGAAGATTTTCTAATTGATACAATTGTATTACGAGATGAATTAAATATTTTAAATAATATTTTTACAAATCCAAATATTGTTAAAGTAAATTTTCTAATTATTATTTTTTTTTTATTTTTCATTAAAATCATAAATAGGTTTTTCATGGTGCAGATTCTGATATTGAATGGTTACAAAAAGATTTTGGTCTTTATATTGTTAATATGTTTGATACACATCAAGCAGCACGAGAACTTAATTTACCAGCATTTTCACTTGCTTATCTATTAAAATCTTATTGTGATATTGATGCTAATAAACAATTTCAATTAGCTGATTGGAGAATAAGGTTTTTTATTGAAATTTATTTCTTGACAAAAAAAAAAAAAAAACCTAATTTTTGATTTATTTAATTATTTTAGACCTTTACCAGAAGAATATCTTCGTTATGCTCGTGAAGATACACATTATCTTCTTTATATATATGATTTATTACGTAATAGATTAATAGAAAAAAATATTCAATTTCTTAAAACTGTTTATGACAAATCGAAAATGATTTGTCAAAAAGTAATTTAAATAAATAATAAAAATTATTTAATTTAATATATTGTTATTCTTCTCTTTTATTTTTCTTTATTTTAAGCTTTATAAAAAACCATATTTTGATGATAATGCATATCAAAATATTTATTTAAAATCACGTAAAACATTTAATATTCGACAATTAGCTGCTTTAAAATCTCTTTATTATTGGCGCGATAGAATTGCTCGTCAAGAAGATGAATCAACTGGGTATGAAAAATCAATTTTTGTTTTTCTCAAACTTATTTTCTTTCTATTCTAAAGATATGTATTACCGAATCATATGCTTCTTCAAATTTCAGAAATTCTTCCAAGGTATGAAAATAAATTTATATATATATATTTTGTTTTGTGAAACACGATCTAAAAGGAATCAAAATCCAGACTCTTCTTCTGTATGACAAACATTGTTATACGATCACAGCGCAGTAGGCAACAACGTGGACATTAGGAGAAAAAATAGACGCGCACTTTTTCGAGATATTAATATGAATTTATATACTTTGATTAACGAACAGTTTTTTGATAAAAACAAAATGTTCCCCCAGATGCTAAGTTCATTGGAAAAACGTAGTTACAAAAAAAAAGGTCAGATTTCAGCATCTTTAGAGAAAAATATCATTTTTTGTTTGTGAAAAATAAAGTTGGACAGTAGAATATATATAGTCTAAAAATAGGACTTACGTTCTATCAATTTATAAGAAAAGTTTTCGCTCTGAAAAAATAATTATTCTTTTCCCGAAACGACGTCTTCAGTAAAGTTGGTCGCAATGTTTTTCTATTAATCCGATATCGATGGAACTTTCAGAGAATGTTCTTCCACACTTAGAACATACACTCAGTTGATGCGCAAATACTTCTGAGCTGAGATACATGTTTTCTAAAAACCGTTGTTTTTAAAAGTTTTTCGCATTTT